ATCAGCGCCTGGAGGCCTTGAGATGGGTCTTGCAGGGGAAAGACCTGGCCGAAGGTCGTGGAGGGGGTCAAATCAACAAGTCCGGGCTCCGAGATCAGAAGGTGGGCGAGGTCAGGGGTGCACCAGAAAACGGGGCTTTCTAAAAACGGGGGAATGCCGCGAATGCCCAAAAAAACCATGGGCTTCAATAGTATAAATTGGTCTAATGATATATGGACCATATCATATTGATTGCTGATATTCAGATATTCCCAAAAAGAAGCTAATTGTGATAAAAAAAACACCATCAAGCATTGATTAAGCAGCCATTTCTATGGAGATATGAGGAGATGATGGGATATTGAAAAGCAACTCAAATCATTGCTACCCTCTAATAATACCATTAGTCACCAACCATATAAGGGGATAGAATGGTGATATGATGGGAATGTTTCCTCGTTTCCATAAGGTGGGCCCCCCAGCTTCGTTTGGTGAAAAGCCGGCCCCATTTTGGGGGGTGACATATTAAAACTAATTGGTGGTTTGGAACATTTAGATTATTTTTTTCATATCTTGGGAATTTCATCAGCCCAACTGACGAAATCATATTTTTCAGAGGGGTAGGTATACCACCAACCAGTAAAGAATGTCATTTTGACACCGGCCTATTCAGCCATTTCTCAGTGATTCTCAGTGTCCTGGAGGAACATATGTGAAATATGTGTGAAAATGATCCCCATCTCATTTCCATCCCCGGTGAAAGCCAACATCTCCAAGGCCGGGAGTGTATCGAACCATTTGCCTGGAGGTGTTCCGGAACATGCCTGGCACGTTGATGGAGATGCATATGCCATGATCAACTGAGGAGTCGAGACAATAGTTGTTTCTTGCAGTTTTGGAAGTTTTGCCTAGATGATCTTAGATGGAAACATATAGTAAATGTATATCTAAATGTTATACTACAATATTTTTTCTTGAATATAGTATCACGCGTTAAAATGATGGGTGGAAAACCAGATGGATGAGTAGAGACATAGCCTCCGGTGTCATCATCATTGCTCGCTGGAAGACCCCCGAACAAAATGGAGCCTTTAATGGGAAAATCGCCACTAGAAATGGATAGAAATGGTGGATTTGTCCATAAGCCGGGTTGGATTACAGGAGGCTATCTATATTCAGAAATATATGAAATTGCACTAAGAGTTTCCTCATTGAAGAGACAGTGCCCAGGCCAAATGCTTCTTGGACAATGGCAGCTTCCAACCTGGGAATCATAGTCTTGTGTGGTTTTGTGGCTACCCGATAGGATGGGAATCGTTACAGCGAACTATGGGACACGGGTGGGACACACAGAGGCACCTGGGGCCTGCACTACTCAGAGTTCGGATCATTTCTTCCCACGCTGACAGCCTGAGGCTGTGCGCTTGCCCATGCCAAAATTACAACAAACCTAATATAGCCTATCCAGGCAGTTACTTCTGCCCTCTAATGGAAGCCACTTAGACCCAAAATGCCAAACGGTCACTTACAAGATCAATCATGCATAAGTGACCTCTTTGCCTGGCTGATCACATGATTTCTGCGTGTCACTGCGTGTCACTTGCGTGTCACTGGGGTTTCGAGGTGGGATGAAACGAGGTCACTTAGGACCCTGAAAAGGTCACTTAAGCCTTGACAAGGTGACTTAAGGATTGGCTGTCTGCGTGTCACTTGCGTGTCACTTGCGTGTCACTGGTAGGCCACTTTTTGGCTCGTTTCCTTAACTGACCTCTTTCTACGTTTTCCTTAACTGACCTCTTTCTAAAGGCCACTTAGCAGAAAACACAAACAAGGTCACAGGGAATCGTCTGGATATAAAACCTATACATAACATCTATAAACATGGATTTCTAGATTTCTAGATGTTTTTCTTGGACCCAAGTCACATCAACCAACCTTTTTGGCGCTAGCTTCGGTTCACCGTTGCAGGTGAACCTCCGAAGCAAGCTCTGCATTTGTGCCCTCCAACATGCCAGGCCAAGTTCTGGCATGGTTGGAACATGATGATAAGACAAGAAAACACATGACCAGATCCAATGGACTTGGATGGATTATAGGGGTTAGCCATGATTTTTCTGATTGCAACGGATGTTTCTCCTGCGGCTCTTTTCTTAAGCCGCTTGCCTGAGGCATCCCTGTCAAGATGGTCCACCGGAACGCCCCGTTTTGATAAACGAATACACGCGTTGCCCCAGCAATTCAGTCGAAATGACCCTATTTAGGCATGTTTTAAACACCTACAAAATTCAGGATGGGACCTTAAAACTCCCAAAAATGGCTAAGCTTTTTTGATGAGCAATCTGACGGACATTTTTTTGGAAATTCTACCTGTTTCTCAGAGGGGTGCAAATTCGTGGTGTTTTCTATCTGTTTGTTGCCAGCCAAATCCCGACCGATGTTGATAAAACATCATTGGATCATGGCAAAACTTCAGTTGGATATGGGTCAACTTTGGTTTGGCCAGAAGATTTGGGATACCAGATGTTATACCGTACATCTTCTAATACCTTCTAATTTGGTATTTATTATCAACTGGTTGGGGGTGCCAAATATGTCCAAATATTGGGATATTGATAGTATTTAATCATCTAGCATGGGCATATAGTGGGTGTATCATTTCTGGTTGGGTTCAGTTTGTGCTTCAACCAAAGGGGATGCTTGGTTGAGATGACCATATTGTTGGGATCAGTTCATAAAACCACCCACCAGGTATGCATTATCAACTTGTTTGAAATAGCAGTCAACGGGTTGATGTTTGGCCAATGATCTCAGTCACTTCGATGGCAAAAACCAAAGGTTTCTTAATGCCAGATGTTCACCGAAAAAAATGGATCCCCAAGCGTTTTTGCGCGTGAATTCCCACAGTTTGTCAAGTTTAAAGTCGTAAATTCCAGGAATTCAACTCTATAAACTAGGAATGTACGGGTAGATTCTTAAATGACCTTGAAAAGAACGAAAATCCATATTCTTCCTGATCAAGCTCTCAAGATTAAATTCTCAATTTTCTTAACTTTCTTTGTTTTTCTTGGTTGACTTCGCCCCGGCCGTTTTCTGCAGATACCTCAGCGACATGGAGGGAGGAGAGCTGAGCCGCAAGATGATTCGCAAGGTAGACGTGGGGCGATTGGTTGGGTTTGTAACAGTAATTTACTGGGGGTGTCAAATTGTTCAAATCTACGTAGGATGTTTGAGAATGTTTAAGATGAATAGAACATTTTCGGGATGGGTGGTTCAACCAGCAACGAGTTTCGGAAAAGATTCGGAGTTTAGCAACAAACAACGCGCCAGGTGGGCAATGCTTCATCGCAGCTGCGCAACATGGATCACAGCTCGGAGGCAGGGCGGAGGCAGAATTTGGGAGTCGAACTACAGTAGATAGGAATAAATGAATATAAAATGATATAAATGATGGGTATATGATGTGAATATGATGTGAATAATGGGAATATGATGTAAATGATTTCATCAACAATAATGGGAATATGATGTGAATATGATGGAACACATACATGAAACATAATAAATATATATATATATATATTAACAAATTAAATGGCTACAACTATAGTTAACGGGGTGATTGATATGACTTTCTGGCAAGCCCCAAAAAGATAGAAAAGGAACATCCCGGTATGGATAAAAGATAAGTGACTTTTCTGCCTTTTTTGGCGATGACTTTTTGGGTGATTTTCAATGCAGAAATTCAGCTGCACCTTGGGACCGGGGTAAAACGACCTCGAATTACGAGGCAACTGAGGCAATTTCCTTGGATCCATCGAGGATCTAGGATCTCGGCTGTCCGAACATAGGTTTTCCATGGTTTTCCCAGAATCCAATTGATATATTATCACTTTCCCCAATTAAATGTTCATATCATCTGATAATATCATATTGGGGGAGGTATGCCTCATTTTTTCAGTCAAACATATTTGGGGGGGCATAACACATGTTCGGCCGCAGGTCGATTTTATCCTACAGTAACTCAACCAACTAAATCCCGTGAGGCCCCCTCGTGCTGTTTGTTGGCTTACAATCCCCTTGAATGTTATAGTTATATCCCCCATAAACCCTAGAATTCACCAATGAAGTCAACAGTCAACTCAGCTATCATAGATTCAAGATCAATCAGCTCTAGATCCCCCTGAAATCCCGATTTTGTTGTTGGTTGAAGCACCATTTCCCAATGGCTTTCGGACTTGGAGCAGGCTTCCGTGACCAACCTGGAGTCCCTCGTGTCCATGGTGCAGGATGCGGAGATTTGAATGGGACTTTGACCTTAAACATTGCGTTTTTGACCCCAAACATGACGGTTTCTGCTTGGTGGTGACTGGAACCATGGAATTTTATGACTTTCCATATTAATTGGGAACAATATGGAACAATAATCCCAACTGACGAAGTCATATATTTTTCAGAGGGGTAGGTATATACCACCAACCAGGTTTTGTATGAGGAAAAAATGGGATTTGGAGCAGCAAACATTCGAACTTGGTGATGTGAGATGTTTGAGTAACCAAAATGGGGCTCAATCAACAAACATAGACATCCTGGCACACACACACAGAAAAAAAAAGGGAGGGCTCCAGATCATTCAACCAACATCAATCGAAATTCAGCGCACGCAGAAGGGAAGTGCACATTGGCACAGAAAAAACTGTTGAAAAATGCCTAATGTAGTAAACCCAAGAATGAATCATCCAGCATATTACCAAAATTGGGTGGTATAAACCATCCCCAAATTGGTATCAACCATTGGGTAAACACCACCGTCCTTAGTGTTGATTCTATTCATCTCATGTGTGTGTGTCCTTGTATTTTGATATATTTCGGACTATTTGGGTGTATGTAATGTATGCACCTTTTTTTTCTCGGGGGACGTGTAGAAAAGATGCTTTGAGCGATCGCTTTTTGAACCGTCTCTGTGAAACTAACAATGGACTGGAAAGGAGTTGTGCAGCACACAAGCGGCCAAAGTGCGGGAGATGGAAAACTTGTGGAACGCCTGGGCCAAGCAGAGTGGGGATGCCTGGACAGGAGATGGATGTGTTTGATACCATGGGAATACCCGCCAAAATGGTCATGTTCTATAATTGGGAAACTGGTTGGTGGTTTGGAACATTTTTTATTTTTTCCATATATTGGGAATAATAATCCCAGCTGACTAATATGGTTCAGAGGGGTTGAAACCACCAACCAGGAAAAGGGTGATTACTCAAGTGCTTTAGAGATAGTTACCACCATGTTCAGAAAAACCCTTAGATATTCCGATGACTCTTCAGATCGTGTCTGAGCAACCCCAGAATTGGCCACTGCCCGTTGGATGTGACACTTGGTTGATAAGTGGTACCGCCAAGCAGTGTGGGGAGCTGGATCAAAGAGCATCAACTTCTATGCATTATAATTCTATTCATGGTTGAAGAGTATCTACTTATTATTACTATTATTACTATTATTGCTATTATTACCTATTATTACTTATTAGTACTATTATTACTGTCATATTAAATATTCTAATTTATATCATTCTTAGTAATCACACAGAGTATTTGGGGTGATGAACATCCATTTGGCGGTTCACCTGGCTTTTCCACTACCCAGCCATAGGTCCCTGGGATTCCTGCCTCTTCGCAGAGGGAACAGACGCAACAAGTGGATTCTGATGGATGCAGTTGAGGTTACAAATGGGCATAACTCTGGAGTTATCAACCCAATAATTTGGGATATAACCCGTATATCCCGTATAACTATAGTTATTGTATCCCCTTATAACTGGAACTTCCAAGGAGTATATCATGAGAGTACGATTTTTTTAAGGCCCGTTCAATTCATAGTTCATTCATAGCTCATTCGATGACCATCCCAGTTACTACAGAAATTCTACCGCACTCTCCCAGGTTCAGTGACTTTGGAGGCCAAGTGGGGCATGGATTTGAGTTCGAACCGATAGGAGAACTTCCAGTATACATGCTGTATGTGGTATGTATCGTTTGAATGTAGATTTTTATGGCGAGTCTGTGAGCAATTAGAGATTTGCAGATTCTTGTTCATGTTGCGGATGTTTACTGTTATATGTGGCTCGGATGTTTGTTTACGGGGCTTGTCTACGGGGCTTGTCTATTCACAGACTTTGGCCCGAAAATGCTAGCAGCTTTACATAGCCATAGCTTTACGTTGAAGAGGTTGGAGGTAGCCCACAGGCCCCGTGTCTCGGTGATCGTGAGTTCTCAATGGCTTTCTGGCTACTTCAACCACTATGAAACTCTCGGTGTTACAGGTACCGATGGGACTGTTCCCTTCGGCAAAACATCTCACTTTTCATCGTTGAACATGTCCGAAAAAAAGAATGTCCCTTGGGCATCGCTCTTTTTTTAGATCATGCAGCATCTGATAATATCCGCGAATCTGTCCACTCCTTCGTGATTGATTTAATGGTCGGCTCTCGCCATGAACCTGTTTCGCCAACATGAGAGCCCTGTGATCCCCTTCCAATGATATCCTCATGGTTTTCATACTTAAAACATGTTACATATGAGACTCAACTCCCTTAAAATCTTGGAAAAACAAACCTCAACCAACCGTGTGGGATGGGACTTCCCCAGGGGCGCTTCGAAGAAGTTTGCAGCCAAGTGTTAGAGCAGTGTGATGCACCTTGGTAGCACAATCCGCTGTCCAATGTTTTTCACCGTTTGCGACGGAAAATCTCATGTGTTTATAGGATGTCATAATATTTTATAGGGAAATCACCGAACTACATGATCTACATGGCCATACACGGCCCATGTGCATTCATATCATTCATTGTCCATGGCAAAGTGTCAAGTTTGGGCATCTAGGAACATCATCAAACAATATGTTTAATTTTCCAGCAAGTCAAGCGATGTTGGATTACCAGTCCGAGTGATTCCACCTTTTTGACATAGCATTTACAGATCTGATTTCTGAAGGCATTTTTTGTGGTCAAGAAAGGGCAGCGTTTGTGCCTATTTTGTATGAGGGTTATGAGCCCAAATCGCTCCTTGTGACTTTTTGGTGATTCGCCATGGAACGTGCACAATCAGTACCTACAAGGGGATCTACAACCACTGCTGAATGGAATCCTTTTTACTCAGAGAAAGTAAGATCGGAGATGCATTTGGAGGCAGCAAGACCGTTAGATCTTCCAAAGGGCTCTACTGATAGGTTCAACATGGAACCGGTTCAAAGCTCTCCTGGCGTGGAAAGCCAGCCTCAAAGGGTCGTTGGTCCGACTGGGAAGGGTAGGGGTGGTCACTCAGCTGGTCTGCTGGATGCGCTTCAACCTACAGAATCTGGCCTTGGATCTTTGAGGACGGAAGGCGAGCTGCCAGTGGAAGATGGGCTGAGGACGATGGGTCCGGTTGGTCCAGTTGAGCCCCCAAAGAAGAGTACTGGGAAAACGGATGATGGCGACCTTCAAAGGGCACTTGAAGGGGAGTTAGTCAACTACCTTCGATGTCAGAATTCGAAGCTGCTTGCAGAAGTGGCATCTCTCAGAGACAAGCTGGAAAAAACATCAGGGATGGGTTCTTCACCATGGTCTGCTTTAGATGGGGTTGAGTCAGTGGAGGCTTCTCAACAACATGGACGTCATGGTAGGCATGGAAGTAGAACTCCCCGGGTTCGAACTAGAGAAGTAGCGGTGAGTCCTGAGAGAAAGGTGATCAGGCAGACTGATTTGAGGCATACCCCAAATGGCACGAGGGTTCCGGATGGCCCCCCGCCTGATGAAGCGGCTGAGAAGCCTCTGCCACCGGTGCCTCCTTTTCCAGATGATGTGAGAAATGCAGGGGAACCTCAGCAGTCTAGCTTTGTGAGTAGTTGCAATGATGGTTTGGACATCTATGACACATGTGACTCCAAACCCAAGATGAAAAACGGAGATGCAGCATGGAAACCAACGATTGAAAGGGATGGTCCTCTTTCTGCAAGTGAGGCGAAACAGGTTTGGCTAGAGCGTGAAGTCAGGTCTTTGAAAGTAGCCTTGGATAGGGTAGCCATACCACAAGCCTTGCAGCAGTCTGGATACTGGAATCCGGGCATGGACAGTGGGCCATTCTCCAAACATGTTGGTCCTGCGGCCTCTGCACATCATCATGCGAATCATCCCCAAGCTCGGGCTCAGCATGGTGGAGGTGGAGTGCAAGAACTTCGAGATCGGGCCTCTGCGATCTGCAATGGTCTATATGGACACGATCGGGCTCGCTACGAGCATGGTGATCTTCGTGAACAAGATCGGGCTTTGTCTGAGCATGGTCTTGATCCTGGACAAGGTCGGGCTCTGTTTGAGCATGGTGTTCAACTTGGCCAAGCTCGGGCTCCCAATGAGCATGGTGTTCAACTTGGCCAAGGTCGGGCTCTCAATGAGCGTGGTGATCAACTTGGACAAGCTCGGGCTAATTTTGAGCACGGAGTTCATCCTGATCGAGATCGGGCATTTGCATTTCGTGGTGGACTTTCAGGCGACGGTCGGGCTAGCACTACGCATGGTGGTGAGTGGGGACTATTTGATAAAGATCGTCTTGATGACTGTGACCTTCCACGGCATGGTGTGGGGGGAGGAGGATTCGGAGTTGGACAAGATGCAGCTCGCATCTATGGGCCCTGGCATGATTCTGCCGGAGGCATGAACACGAAGAGTGAGTTGCCAGATCTTCCGGCGACAGCGTCTCCACTGCAATTTGGGGACTGGTTGCATTTGAGTTCCCCCGTGATGAAAGACATCAGCGGCACTGCAGGGTGGTGGTGGGAATCAACACTTCGTGAGGCGCAGTGCTACTATGAGCGATGGAAAGAAAGCTCTCCTCTTCAACGGATTCAAATCCAACCTCGACTTCCAGAATCCCTACATGAACCACGCTTCCACCGAACAGAACAGCGTGGCGTGCAGATGTTGTTGAAAGCGATCCCAGCCATGGAACAGCAAGCTCTGGTAACGGATCGTGCACTTTCTTCGACAGCGATTTTATATCGCTTGATGGTGCGATTTCAACCGGGTGGTGCAGGAGAGAAGCAACTTCTCCTGCAGCAGCTCACTGACATTCCGGCCTCAAAGAATGTCCAAGACTTAGCAGCTGCAGTGCGAAGCTGGCGCAGACATTTTGGTCGCGCTCAAGAGGTCAAGGCGGTTTTGCCTGACGGAGTCCTGCTGGTGAAGGCGTTGAATGGACCTGTGCAACAACTAGCATCGATGGACCAGCAAGCAGCATTTCGCCTCTCTCAAAGCCGAATGCAACTGCAGTTGGACGAGAAGCCGGAGCATGCAAGCCTTTGGGCGTTCAGCCAGTGCCTGTTGGCGGAGGCTGAAACTTTGTGTCTGATGGCGACTTCTACAACAACACCACCTCAGACACCTTTGAAGCTGAAGCAGTTCCAAAGTGATCCCAAAACTCCAACGAGTACCACACCTTTGGAAAACAAGGCCAAGCCCGGATCAATTGACAAACCCTGCAAGTACTTTGTCTCAGATGCAGGCTGTCGGGCTGGCAAAGGGTGCAAATGGGTTCACTCATGGGAAGGTGTGGCTGACAAGGCTTCCCGTTGTTGGATCTGCGGCAGCAAAGAGCATAGGAAGCAGGATTGCATGGTGAAGTCTGGGAAGAAACCTGGTGAGCCGAGTGTCGGCCCAGGGGGAGGAAGAGGCAATCCTGGCAATGCGCCTTCAACATCCACGACATCAAGCTCTTCAACATCTATGGGAGGAAAAGCCGGAGCAGCGGCAGTCAAGGTGGCCAAGAATGCGGAGGAGGCTTCCACCACCACAAAAATTGAAGGAAGTACAACGTCACCGGAAACAACAACAAGCTCCACTACCAGCGGGGTCAAAGATGGCAACGGGGGGGGAGTGATGGTGGATCAAATGGTGACAACAAAACGGCTGAACTTTTGCATGAGGCCACACAACTTTTGAAGACGCTGCGAATGCCGACGAACCCCAAGATGAAAGTGATGCAGCTGAGCAATGTGGAGACTGTGGATGACAATTACATCCTTTTGGACAGTGGGGCAACCCACGCACTACGTCCTGCCAGAGATGAAGGTGAATGGATGGCAGCCGAAAGAACGTCCGTCCAGCTGGCGGATGGAACAACAGAAATGTTCAGGCTGAAGAAGAACACCAAGATCTTGCTGGCTGCACCAAATGCTCAGGTTTCATGGATCATCCCAATGGGCGGCCTCTCCGATTTGGACTTTTCATTGGAGTGGCGTGACGGCCTTTTCAAGTTGAAGGATGACGAAGGACGTGAAGTTCCTGTGGAGCTGAGGAATGGATGCCCTATGATCTCCCGTCAGGAGGGTGAGAAGATCATGCAATGGCTGGAGCTCTTCTACGTGCACCAATGGAGAAAGCTGGCGGTGGTCAAAACGTTGCTGGCCGATGCAAACATGGTAGATCTCAACCTCTTGAACCTGGAGACCGCCATGACGGTGAAGATGAAGCAGGAGTTCCCAGGTCTGCCAGACCACATCATGATGAAGTTGATTCCACATCTTGAGATGGTGAAGGCGGAGGACTTTGGAGCACGTCTGCCGTGGAATCGCCACAAGAGACGCAGACTCTTGAAGGCCAAAAAGATCATCCTGCACATCTTCTCGGGCCCTGACTCCAAGTACTGGGAGAAGCAATGTGCCTCAGCTGACACGGAGATCTTGTGCGTGGACACTGAAGGATCTCATCCAGCGAATCTGCACGACAAGAACGTGTACGGCTTCTTGCTGGCTTTATGTGCTTCAGGCCGTGTCAAGGCCATCCTGGGTGGTCCTCCTTGCAGGACAGTGACGGCTCTGAGGTATCAGAACGACGGTGGCCCTGGTGTGGTGCGAAATGATGAACACCCTTATGGACTCCCAGGACTATCCCCAACTGATGCAGCGCTGGTGGAAGGAGACACTCTGCTGATGTTCAGGTTCTTGTCTCTGATGACACTGTGCGAAGATGTCCGAGCTGCAGATGACGATCAGCCAACTGCGTTTCTTCTTGAACAACCTGAAGATCCTGCCAACTACAGAGATGAAGCTGATGTGCAGCAACATCAATACTTTTCGATGTTTCGGACTCAGGAGTGGCAAGCTTTTCAGAGCCGATACGGCTTGTCGCAGTTTTCCTTTGACCAGTGCAGGATGGGTCATCTCAAAAGAAAGCCCACCACGATTGCCACCAACCTCACAGAGCTTGCACAGCTGGATGGACTCAGAGGTGAACCTGAAGGAGAAGCACAAGCAGCTGAGCAGTTCCGAGCCCTACCCATGGAGCAACGCTTCAAGATGACCAAATCATGGGCGGCATGGGCACCAGGGCTGAAAGCAGCCATATCCACTGGGTTGAATAGATACCTTTGGGGAGCCGGGCGTGGACTTGATTCAGAACGACACCAAGCGCCTGGTTCTACTGGGGTACCTGAGAGCGATCCTTCTCCACATCAACCACGAGCTCTCAGGACCATCTCCCAGTTGGCTTTGGAATCATGGAAGAACCATTTTTTGCACGACCACTTGCCTGCGAGGCGTGACTGCATGCACTGTGTACGTGCTCAGGGTCGAAGTCGTCCTCATCGACGTGTCACCCACCCAGACTCCTTTACCTTGTCGGTGGACTTGTCAGGCAAGATGAATCCTGGCAAAGATCAAGGTGGGGATCGATGTCGCTACATCATGGTGGCTTGCTACACGTTCCCAGTGACTGGTGATGGACGTCCTTTGCTAGACCCACCAAATGCTCCACAAGAGGACAGGGATCAACCTCTGCCGTCGATGGATTTACACGGAGGGGGAGACCCGAATCCTCAAGCTGACCGACCTCTGCCGTCGATGGAGTTATACGGAGGGGAAGGTCTTGATCAAGTTCCTCATGATGATGTGATGAATGATGATGTGGAAGTGGATGAGGGGGGAGATCCGCCGCCGATGCCAGAATCTGCTGATGATCTGGGCGACCCACTGGACCCCTTGAATGAACAACCTCATCCAGAACCTGAAGGTGCTGGCGGCCTTGCTGAAGATTCTATGCGCACAGCCTTTGATGTCTGGCATCGTCTCATTGAAGACGCTAGCAACATCGGTGTGAAGAACCTCACATTCACCGAGGTGCTCCCCAGTCGGGCTGTGAAAGATGTTCTACCAGCACTAGCCCGCATTTATGCGCGCTTGAGATATCTCGGCCTGCCTTTGCACCGACTACATTGTGACAGGGCCAGAGAACTGACATCGGCACCTGTTCGTCGCTGGACTTTGGACAGGGGCATCATCACGACCTTGACGACTGGCTCCACCTTCAAGGCCAATGGGCGAGTCGAGGCTGAGGTCGGTGCTGTGAAACGTGCAGTTCGCACGCTGGTCAGTGCAAAGCTTTGTCCCCTTGAAGCATGGCCATTGGCACTACGTCATGTTGGAGAGAGACGTTTGAGATCTCAACTGCAAGGTGTTGGGTGGCCGACGGCACCGCTTTTGAAGTTTGGAGTGAAGGCTTATGCATTGAAGAAGTCATGGCAAGATCGGTACCATCCTTGGAGAGACGTCAGGGAGGAGGTCATTGTGCTTGGCCCCGATCGTTGCAGCAGCTTCACTACCACGAACTACTATGTTCAAAGCGTGGCCACTGGCAAGCACTTCTACACCGATGATGTGGTGGAACCAACAACTTTGCCTATGCCATCTGATCCAGAAGAACCCACAATTTTTCTTCCTGCAAGAGAAGCTCCAGCTCCTGCAATCCGTGATGGGGTACCAACACGACGCCTGCGCAGCAAAACTGCAGTGCCAGCAATCCGGTCGATGTTGCACATCGAGGGGGAGGAGTGGGGGTCAAGTTGTGATTTTCCAAATGAGTGGGGGTCAAGTTGTGATTTTCCAAATGGTTTGGATGAAAGTAAGTTGCGATGTTCCAACAACAGTTTTGAAATCCCACAACATCTTCAAAGTAATTTTGAAATGGATAATGTGGATGGAAGTGATGAATCTGGCTGGACCTTGCGCACTGATTCAGAAAACACATCAGCGAGTCCAGCAAGTTCAACGGCAGAAACTCCAACACTTCAATCTGATGCTGACGAGGTGGATGAAGGAGTCGGCGGAGGGGATGTGGAGGAGGCGCCTAAGTACCGGTGCGGTGGCGCATGCCCGGTCGCCTCAATGTCTGGAGTAGCTGCCATTCGAACCATCCACAACAATGTCACCAACTTCATCTATGACGAGATGGCCAAATTGGACGCTACGTCCGGTGAGCAGTCGATGTGGCTTGGTGCAGTGTCGGATGCCATTGCCCTGAAGTCAATGCTGGAGGTTCAACTTCAAGAAGCACAACAACAAAAGGACCAGGTTGATCAGCATCGTTTGGAACAAGAGTTCCTGGTGACAAAGACCATCAGCAACAGTGAGGTCTGGGCGAATCTGAGCGATTGGGAGGCGTCCATAAAGGCCGAGTTTCAACAGTTGGTCCACACCAAGGGCGCAGTCGAGCAAGTCTCAAAAGCCCAACTTCGAGACCTTGCACATCAACGGGATCTTCCAATAGAGCTGCTACCTGCAAAGATGGTGCATACCCGGAAGGCGGGATCAGGAGCCTTCAGATCACGGGCTGTGGTATGTGGAAACTACCAAGAAGCTGGCAGCGATGAACGGTATGCCAGTGGCGCTGACGGCAACCAAATTCGAGCTCAAGTACGACTTGCTGGAGTGAAAAACTGGTCAGTATGTGGAACAGACATCAGGGTTGCGTTCCTGAACGCGCCCAAACGTGATGACAAAAGGATCACGGCGATGGAGGTGCCCACTGTCTTCCGAAAGCTTGGACTGGCTGGTCCTGATGATGTGTGGATCATCCAGAAGGCTGTTTATGGCCTAACCAGCTCCCCTAGAGACTGGTGTCTCTATCGAGACGAAACCCTTCCAACGATGTCGTGGCGGAGGAATCGACAGGGACAAGAAGTTGATGGAAGCTTCATTCGAACCCCTGACGATAACGTTTGGCGCTTGGAGGAGGTGAACAGGAAAACGGGGGAGAAGTTTTGGGCTGGACTGATGTCCGTGTATGTGGATGATCTGCTGATCACTGCAGAGGATGGTGCTGCCGAGACGGCGATTCAAGCCATCGCTGATGTTTGGGCTATATCGGAGGTGGAGAAGGCTGAGGTGAACAAGCCGGTCAAGTACTGTGGTTTTGAAATAGAAGCGGCTGAGGATCAAAATGGATTCATCCTCACTCAAAAGGGGTATGAACAAGAAATGCTGAAGCGATGGAATGTCACAAAATCCATCAGCTACCCCAACTTCAAACTGAGTGAAGGCGATGAAGATCCTGTGGATCCTGTTGACCAGAGCCAAGTCAAAACAGCTCAGGCAATAGCGGGTGCGCTGCTTTGGTTGAATACCCGCACCCGACCAGACATTTCAGTTGGAGTGTCGGCTGTGTGCAGACTTGCAACAAAAAATCCAGCCAAATCGATTGAGATCGGAATGACTGTGATGGAATATATCCATGGAAATCCTGGAGGCCTTCACTACCCCAAGGGAGTCCCTGAAGAGACTTGGGGTGAAAGACAACAGTTGAAAATTGAGCGTAGCGTCAAGCTCCTTGAAGTCTTCTCAGACATTGCCTATGGCACTGGCTCTCGTGGACGAAGCATCCAGGGGATGGCGATCTACTTTGCTGGCGCCATCATCAGCTGGCAAACAACGACCCAGCCCTTTGTCACTCATTCGACAGCTGAGAGTGAGTTGGTGGCCTACTGTGATGCCCTGAATGCAGGCCGGTCCACGGAGGCGATGCTGGCAACTATGATGGGAGTGCCAAGTGGGAGCAATGCCATAGAGAGGGTGATGTATGGCGACAACATCGCCGCAATCGGCTTGGCACATGGCACCTGCAGTGCATCATGGCGGACTCGCCACCTACGCATACGCTCCTCATATCTTCGCGAAGCTCTTGAAGGTCGAGCACCAGGTGGGCTGTGGCGCCTTTCACATCTCAAAGGAAGTGAACTGGTGGCCGACGGCTTGACAAAACCTCTTCAAGGTCAAGCGTTTTCATCCTTTTTGACTGACCTTGGGATGAGACGTGAAAGAGACGCTGAACTTCAAAGAGATGAATCTTCGAGTGCTGCGGTGGCAGCTATGATGGTTGGAAGTCTTCTACTCTCAGGTATGGATGCCGCTGAGGAGACAGATGGCGACGCCGATTCAGCAACCATTTGGGCTTGCGGAGCTGTGCTGATGGCCTTTGGGGCAATCTACGTTGGGCAGTTAGCCGTGCAAACAATGCAATGCTGCCTGAGACGATTGCAGGTGCCTTCACAAAGCTTGGAAGAGGATAATCGCCAACGTCTTCGCGGTGAAGCTGAAACTGGAGGAGAAGATCTGATCAAAATCAAACGCGGCAAGGGTTCATCTTCATCCAAAAGGGGCGCTACGTCCTTGAATATCACAATACAGTCGGGCTTGCAATGTGACGATGGCCTGGCAACTTCTCCTATGTCAAGTCCTCACAGTGCTTTGCTGAGTGAACATGGCGTCATGAGCTCCGCTACCAAGCGTGCAGCCGGGGCTACATCAAAAGGTTTGACATCAAGTTCGGGCCTAGCATGTGCAACTGGATCTTTGAGCAGTGATCGAGCGGCTGGGACTACATCCAGAACATCCGCTTCCAGTTCGGGCCTTGCACGTGCGATTGGGTCTTCGAGCAGCGGTCGAGCGGCGGGGACTACATCCAGAACATCTCCTTCCAGCTCGGGTCTTGCAAGCGCTGCGGCAGCTTTGGGCACTGATCATGCAACTGGCGCGACATCAGGAACTTCCACGTCAAGTTCGGGCTCTGCGAGCGCTGCTGGGCTGAGAGGGGGGCCGAACCTGGATCTTTCGAATCCATGGAATCGTTTCCAGCATGAATATGCTGGGCAGGGTTTCTCTAAGAAGACCCTTTCAAGGCTATACCAATTTTACAAGAAGAAAGACCATTAGGGTGAATGCCTTGAGCCTACACGAAGATGTTTGGTTTTTTTCATTTTGGATGAAGTCTTGCAGACATGGGCCAATTTGGTGTCTTGCAGACTCAATAGCGAAGAAGTTGCGGTGAAAGCACGGCAACTTGGGGGAGTCCGAGTGATTCCACCTTTTTGACATAGCATTTACAGATCTGATTTCTGAAGGCATTTTTTGTGGTCAAGAAAGGGCAGCGTTTGTGCCTATTTTGTATGAGACCAGAAAGTATCTGAAGTGTCCATTTCGTGAAGTTGTGAGGTGCCATACCCAGTGAAAAAGTGGTGGTACTAGACAACAAACCGGGGGAGATCCGCGGGGTATCATGGGTATATCACCAACATTCACCAATCATTCTATTTTTTGGGTGTGTCTGAAAATGGTTAATTAGTAGTCCCCAACATGGTTTTTTGTGAATGAGGAAAATTAGCATATCTAAAGCCAGGAAACGATGATTCTCCTGTCTATAGATGGCATGAGGTCATTGTGTTTATGACGATTAGGATTGGGAGGAATCATCCCATTTCTGATTTGGTAAGGACGTCGATGTCGATGTCGTCAGTTGCCAAGGAAAAAATGGGAGCTTTGCGAAGCCAAATGACCCGTGATCCGAAAAAACATTGTTTACTCTTATCTAGGTAGAAAACTGAACCATGATTTTACTTAAATATTCATGAAACGCGTGAATTACACATATTCATAATCCATAGATTATCCATATATTAACCATAGATTAACCATTTATAGATGGTTTACCCAGCCATAAACTCTTCATTTTACACAGCCATCATGATTCGTTGAGTCCGTGGTGACGGTGCAATCCAAGGATTTGCGTTTGGTGCGCCAGATTCAGGACCATCTGAAGGGGGAAGTCCTGTGCCAATCTCCTCACTCCTTGGGAATCTGTGAAAGTCATGGCAACGAAGTTCACCATTCCCAGATTTGGATAGATTTGGATTAAGGGAAAATCTATTTTGGGCTTAGGTGACCTATATTTTTTGGGGGGCAAACCATTGCTTTCCTGCAGGGAAAAGTTTGTTTTCATCGATCCATTGGCTGCAGAAGCTCGATGAAATCACGTGAGCTCCTGCTAGATTGAGTTACCTTATAATTTATAAGTATGTTTAAAGGGTGGACCAGTAGATCTCTATATATAGAAACGAATGATAACTCATTCTTGGATGTTTCCCTTCGGGAAGCAAACACAGATAGGAAATAGCACCGCTTGTTTGTATATCACTTTCCTGGGAAGATTTGGGTTGGCCACAATGTCAATCTTGGGTAAAGAAGCCCCTGGCTCAAATGGGAGGCTTGTCATTTCAACGGTTCATCAAAGTCAGGTCTCAATACTCTGGGGTAAACATGATCTGGGGGCGTGTGGAGGCAAACACATATTAAACAGGCCCCGAATATGTGTTCATGCCTCCTTCTCATGGTTTATCCGCATTTTCCCGTGATTTGACAGCAACCTTAAGGGATTTCCCATTTTGGAATATTTTGGGCAACCCCTCATCCACTTCACAGCTCATGGCGGGCCTGCTGCCTGCATTTGTTCGGTCATCTCTGCAAGGACCTGCGAGATGAGTGGCAAACCATTGAGATCTCCAGTTGCAGATTAGCCAGATCGAGCTGCAGTTGCCCCATTTTTATATTTGTTTTATGGCGGAAGATGGTGGAAGGAAGCCATTCAATGGGTCAAGGTTTAAGGCTGTAACATAGGATTTAAAACCATAAAGCGCAACGCCTCTCGGCGTCTCCTTGAGGACCATTTTAATGATTCAGGGAATTGGCCTGGATTGAAGCTGGTGATAGGATAACAATAATACAAACACAATTTTTATATATATATAGTATACATATATAGTATATATATATAGTATATATATTATATATAGTATATATTATATATATACTATATATTATATATATAGTATATATATTATATATAATGTATATATATATAACATATATATAATATGCAATATATGTATGTAAATATGTTTTTGATATCATACATAGGCAACAGCTCCCGCGATGCTATTGTCCCGGTGGGCCTGATTAAAGCATCGGCTCTAAGATCCTGACCGGATACCACCGGTGGTCCCAAAGATAGGTCAGATAGGAAGGTGAAATGGTGGATCCCTGAAGTACCTCAAAGAAAACAAGCTGCAGAATGACATATTTTTGTTTGACACTGAGATTAGTTATCTGCTGAAATCCCAACCTTAGCCGCTGCTATGCTCGGCAGCGGCGTCGTGTTGGCGTGTTGGCTGCCACTGGAGTCACTCGCGTCCCATCGCCGAGCACAGTTGGAACCACAATCATAATATATATATATATATATGCAAATAAGATAAACTTCCTTTTTATATATTTTAAAGACTGCATAGAAATATGCAACAAACACATATATATATATATATATGTATTGATATACAATAATATAGATTATTTTTCAAAATAATGATATATTATATGATTATATTTATTTCATTTTTTCAAATTACAATAATGGGCAACTATATTCAAGACTATGTAATTTCAACCCTTGACTAATAAACCCCTAGTCTGTTTAATTGGGGGGTCCAACTAAGTATCATAGTATAACTATTTGGATGGTATCCCCACAATTAATGAACCATGGTTTATTAATCTGGGGTTGACATACTGTAAATTGTATTTATGTTTTGATATACAATGATAATCGGTAATATTTAAGTAATACATGAGAATCGCTATTATGTAATGATATGTAAGAACATGCAACAATATGGTCTAATATATATATATATAAACACTAGTATAGAATAGTTATTAATGATAGTAAACAGCAATACTAAACAAACTATAATCATAATATATCATATCATATCATATACATATATATATATGTATAATGTTGGTCTCTGATTAGTGTGCCCCCCCCCCTCAAACTAATTTAGTATACTCTATAACTCGTAGATTTTTTGGGCACCCCTCAACAAATTTTAGGATATTCAACTTAAGTAAGGATTTCAATTGAAATCAATTTACTTTCAATTGAAATCAATTTACTTTCAATTGAAATTCAATTGAAATCAATTTACTTTCAATTGAAATCAATTTACTTTCAATTGATTTCGATTTACTTTCAATTGATTTCAATTTACTTTCAGTTGGTTTCAACTTACTTTCAATTGATTTCAAGTTACTTTCAATTGATTTCAATTTACTTTCAGTTGGTTTCAATTTACTTTCAATTGATTTCAATTTACTTTCAATTGATTTCAATTTACTTTCAATTGATTTCAATTTACTTTCAATTGATTTCAATTTACTTTCAATTGATTTTCAATTGAAATCAATTTTTAAAGTGTTAACATCAATGGGGCTTTCTAAAGTGAATGGACCAGCTTTACTCAAAGAAAGGTGGTGAAATTATTTTTGTTGTTTTTTTTCATTCCCAAAAGTTGTTGCGCACAATAGAGTACCATCCAAACAATTATATTATTGAGTATTTGAGCCACTCATGGGGTACCACCTTGAAAAATTGTCTGTGTGCTGTTTTTAAATAAGGGCCTAATAAGGCATCTAATTATTTGGAAAACCTTGCATTTAAAAGTTTTAACATCAATATGGCTTTCTAAAGTAAATGAACCAGCTTTACTCAAAGAAAGGTGTAGAAATGATTTTTGTTGTTTTTTTTCATTTCCAAAAGTTGTTGTGCACAATAGAGTACCATCCAAACAATTATATTATTGAGGATCTGAGCCACTCATGAGGTACCCCCTTGAAAAATTGTATGTGTTTTTTTTTTTAAATAAGGGTTTAAAAAGGCATCTAATTATTTGGAAAAAAATGAAAAATGGATCTGAGCAAAAAATGAAAAATGAAAAACAATACAATCTGGGAAAAAATCTTTAAAAAGGGAACAAATTCTGAGAAAAAAACATGAGAAAAAAATCTGAAAAAAAAACTCACAATACAGGCTCCCCCCCAACAACCACCAAGATACTCAATTAGGAAGCAAACATTTCTCACAATAGAGTACCATGACACTAATCGGAGCCCAACATTAGTTATATATGTTCATTAATAACATATATGACAATGATTCGTGATCATATTATATCCCACATTTGAATACCCGGGGGCCGGCCCAGGAACCTGCTGGATGGCCTCTATGGTTGGTGACTGGTCTGTGGGAAAAAACACGGTTGGCTCCTGTGGATTTGGGATCAAAAAGATGTAAAACATGGTAAACACCTGGTAGAAATGCAATGTTTTTGTTGTTGTAACATCTGGTAATTCTTTGTCCTGAAAGAATTCCGAAATGACAAAGAGTCCGAATCGAACTGGGATATGGGATCCAAAAAAGGATCGGACACGATCTGCATCATTCGCTTGGGGGTTGACCCATACGAATTCGAGCTAAACGGGGTTGAACATGGACCCGTTTAGGATCCTCATCAGCAGTACTCGTACTGTTTGGTAGTAACCTAACTTGGTTTTATGTTCAAAACAACTTGATGGGATGAAGAGATGTATTATGTGTGGATGATTTTTCAGCCGACAAAGTCAGATTAGATACAGTATCTGGTGAATATGTTTACGGTTCAGGTTCTTGAGAAGACGGGATGGTCTACGGTTCTGCGGTGAATGGCCAGGGTATATGAACTGAGAAACTTCAGATTGAATCGCTTCAAGTCTTTCACTGTCTACGATACATTTGACATAGCAGCCATAGCATAATGTTATCGCCAAGTTTGAGTTGGCGCAACATCGCAACATCAAGAAGTTTTCAGCTCGACAAGTCCTGATGCCTTGAGACCAAAGCACCCACTACACTTGCCACGTACCAAAAACTCCAGTTGTATGACAATGACATGTTTCCCCCAGAAGCCAGACCTTGGTTGTACAAGTCAATGTTGGCCAATACCCATGAAGTCCTGTGGCACCCAGCAGTTGGATGTACCATGGGATGATTTATCACATCGACCAGGGATACCTCACGCCAAAACAGGTTGGCGTCTCCGAGCTCCTTGTTGTACGATGCGGCACTGTTGCGACGGGTGCGGGGAACGGATGGGGTTTTCAGTGGTGCGGGTTTTGGGCTAGGCCTAGCGGCTAGGCAGAGAAGTTGATTGAATATTTTGAAGTTCGTGGAAGTTACACATTGCTGGAAAAATTGCTGACTTCCAGCTTCATATGGGAGTCAAGGAGTCAAGAGAAGGTTGAACCTTGAACATGTTTGAACAGATTGGGGATACGACAACCAGCACGAAGGGATGGGTACCGGCCACTGGACAGGTTCAGCAGTACATGGATCGAGTGCTGAAACTCCTCATCGACGTCATTAAACGCAACGGATGCTGCGCGGCAGCACGACATGTGGGCACGTCAGGGAACATGAGGCGGCGTGTCAAAGGACGGGTAATCTTACGGGGCTTCCGAAAAAGATCTGAATCCCAAATAAGATAAGAATCCCGAATATTCAAAGGACAGATATCTTTCTCACTTTTCTCAAAGGCACAATAACCAAATAATAAGTAGGGAATAGCTCCCAGCAGGACATTTTGTCCAGGCCTAGACATATATGGTGAAACTTGGGTGTCCCGGATCTTAAGCCTCACAAAGTGTTGATATAAGATTTGGCCGTAACTCTCACTAATTCCACTGGCGATTTGGAGGTAAACTTACCTACTCATTACCAATATAATATATATATATATATGTCATATGATTTCCAAAATTCATGCATTCGATATGTTTGTATCCACACATTTACTCTTCACCCGTTGTTGTGTTGAAACCTGTTGAAACACCAACCTGGACGCTGTAAAAGCCACAGTCACACCGAATCGTCTGCCTTGCCGCACCGGAGCACGGTTCCAAGGTGGCATCATTCACGCATCATACTCAAAGGTGCCACGGGGCCAGGGAAACTGTCACCAGGGAGGCTGTATTCTTTGAAATCAAGGCCGTATGCATAGACTTTACAATCCAGGGGTGTAGCTCCGTGCCAATATTTTATTATTGGCATCACCGTTCACCGTTCCATCATTTCCTCTGGACTCGTGATACCTGGATTCTGTCACCACAGATTACCGATAGTCATGTGATTCTCATTGCCAGACGAGTGTCAACTTCGGGCACCCACAGAAACGACCAATAATAGGATGGTTTACTCTCCGGTAATTTAACATATTATAGCTATTGAAAATGGCCATTTATAGCTGAATTAGCCGTTAAAAATGTTGATTTTCTATATCTATGTTAGTTTACCAGTGGGTACAGTTTACAACCCACAATAGTTTTTTCTTGGTTTTCAAAAAAGCATACACTTATATATCCGATGATTCACTATTGACAATCATAGAATGACCATATTTATGTTCTGGAGGGACCAAATGGGTCTTAAACGCTAACTCATACTTTCCGGAGATAAAGGTAGGGCCCAGCAATTTGTTCGCTTGATACATCTTGATACTCTCGGCTCAAGTTACTCCCAAGTCTGACCAAAAGGCCTAGCCATAGGGTCGAAGAGCACCAGTTGCGTGCCCATCGTGCCCATGGATCAGTACCTTGTCAGCGATTTCATGTTCCATGGGTAGATATGTGGTTCACGATTCCAACTGTGTCAAAATGGACAACCCAGAAATTGCATGCTCTACTATTACCAACTGAAGATACCCCTTCGAGATCCTCAGAAAAAATAGAAACCTGGTCCCTTCGGCCTTGGCTTCCTTAGAGATCTCTAACCAGAAAGATGGGATCTAAGATGATCTGATCTAAGTAGCTACCTAGACTCTCAAATGACAAAATAGTTTTTGAATGTGTTTGATAAACTCATTTATTGACTACATCTACTTATCCCATAATCTTGCTTATAGCAATGTATATAGGAATATATAGCAATGATTTATAGTTCAACTGAGAGTCAAGGTAACCAGAACAAGCTAAATCGACAATCACTCAGCCACAACCTGTGGATTACCGCTTTAATCCAAAAACGAATTTGCAGCAAAGAAAAACTGGACTACAACCAATATCAGAAACACTAAAAAATTATGTCATATGACGTAATCCTGATCAACGAAAGTGGTTGTGTCAATGTAAGGTGACTATGAGGAATCGATCCGACAATTCACATCCAGGTCCCAAAAGTTGGGCTATTCATGTGCTTTTTTCACAATAGGATCCATCCCCAACCACTGCAACCACCATCCCCAACACCACAAATGGCTAAAGAAATCTAGAAAAAACAATATATGGCTGGTTTATATTGGTTGATTGCTTTAGTTTACCATTAAACCATATTAAAACCATGAATGGATGCTATAAACAGCTATAAACCATCAACATATGGCTGGTTCATGTGTTTTTTTACTAACATGAAACCCCCATTTTTTGCGGATTTCAACCCAACCATCTTGGCGGATTTCGACGCTCAGGTCAGAGGAGGTCGTCACGCTTCCGCGGCAGCGTTCCGTACACTTTGCCGAGAAGGTGGGCCATCATGGACGGTGGTGTTTTAAAACGCGGAAAGCGATGCTGGGGTAGTGGGACTTACCCTCTGGTTATTCAAGATAGCCAAGGTATAGATGGCCCATAGAAATAGATGGTTTACCTATATTAATAGCATGGTGATTTTCCATGGCTATCTTCAATAACCAGAGGGTAAGTCTGAAAATATCCCACTACCATGGCGATGTAGTAGATCGGATTTCTAATGGATGTTAATATCCTTCAAATGGCCATTAAAGAATAGATTTTATGATCGGGATAATGATCATAAATCCATATAGGAATTCAAGGTACAGTATTTCTCAGACAAAGCCAAGTACCCAAGTATAGGACATGTGGATCTTAATTAATCAACATACAACATGTTTGTTAGGAGCCAAGAAAGCAAGGGAATGGAGATTCACCAAAGATAGATGATGTTAGGACATGCACAAAAATTGTCGGTATATCTACACTAACTATGTAGTGTGCCAAGATTGGGCTCGAAGTCGGAAATTCTTAGAGAATTATGTACCAGTTTCAGTTGGAATGACCCATGACCTAAACCAGTCACCAGGTAAGTTTGGGACTGACTGATCGGGTTATCAAATTAAACGGAGATTTCTGCTGGAAATCATGAAATCACATATATTAGTGCCCTGTAGAGCTCCATTTAAACATGAATTGAATTATAAATTATGATGATCAATTGTATGAAGCTATTGTAGCATTTTTGGTACAAACCTGCCATGTTTATTTTAATGTATTTTAATTTTTTACTAATTTAAATTTATCACCCCTTCGGTGACTTACATCATCTTACATCACGTCTGTTCGAGAAGCCTCTCTCTGATGATTACCCATTTGGGTTGGTTAAAGATGCACTCTAAAAAATAGCCATTACGACTGAGGTTATCTGAATATTGCTAATTATTAATAATATGCATGTTATTGAAAAGATATATATATATATATCATATGTTTAAAAGAAAAATAATTATCAATTATCACCATGATATGATTATGGACTGGTTGCGCAACAATATACATTAAACAATCCACAACAACGCACAAAATCCATCTAAATATCCCTGCACAATAGCCATGCAATAGTCCATTTCAAAAAACCATCAGAATCCAGAAACCAACCCCTAAAAAACAGTTTAAAACAGTTATATTATATTCCAATCATAGCCACAAAATATAACCATGACCCCACCGTTGTTTTTTCATTATATCCCGGTGGAGATCCTATTTATCTCAGCGTTATCTGACCAAAGATCCCCAGAAAATCTAACCATCATTCTATGGTCATTCTCAATGGATTGGTTTACGGGAAAAAATACAGGAAACCCTCAATTTTTTTCATGGGAAAATCTCCCGCAGATTTTCTCCATGAAGATCCCAGGTGGAGACGCAAACGTTGGACGAGGTCGACAAGAGCCTCGAGCAAGCCGCCCTGGCAGCGGCGCAGATGGCGCAGATGGCGCAGGCCACGGTGCCGGTGCCCGTGGCGGTGCCCAGCAACGTCACCAAGGCGCCAAATTGGGAGGGTCACCATGGGAAATTGATGCAGAATAGAATTCTGACTTCTCTCCAGAAGTTTATGAAAGATGATATGAAAACGATCATGATTTTTAATGGAAAAAGAAGTGAAAATTAGGGTGAACGTAGTAACGACCAATTTGCGGTGTTATGATGGAATATGTATCCATACACAATAACACAATATAATAGTATTATATATATTATATATACATTCAATGTGGATATACTACTTGGAACACAATGGGAATATGATACGGAGATAGCAGGATATGATCCCCCAAACAGACATTTTCTGAAGGGGAACCATTGAGACTCACAGCAAGTTCAAAAATTGGAGAGTATGCGTCAAACACATGTCATATGTCATTTGCTGGAAGATACAAACCAGCCAGAATTTGCCAAACATTTTTGGAAGGTTGCAGAGGATCTATATAAAATTGCCCAGGCGACAGTGATTTCACCGAAAAAAAATCCCCAGGCAGATGGCAATTTGCCCACCTGTGCCTCGAAACGGTTCAGATCTGCGAAAAAAGGATGGAAAAGGATGGAATCCAGGAAATTCCAAAGCCATATTTTCCATAAATTTCCTGTGGTGTCTTGTTTTTACCCTCTGGTTATGTCAAAATAGCTATTGAACATGACCATATATAGTGGATTTTCCCATTAAAAATTGTGATTTTCCATAGCTATGTTAAATTACCAGAGGGTAAGTTTTGAACTCCTGATTTTTCGTTCCATGGGGAAGTCACCTTGGGCTTTTTGGCGTCCCGGAGACAGGTTAGGTTTGATGTCACCACTGGATTGCATCAATGGATGAACATGCAGCGCCAGACAGCTGAAAGATACCCTCTGGTAAACTAACATAGCTATGGAAAATCACTATTTTTAATGGGTAAATCCACTATAAATGGCAATTTTCAATAGCTATTTTGACATAACCAGAGGGTAAGACCTTTTGGGGACGTGTTTTATTTTCCATAAAGTAACAGCCACACGCTTTCGGTCCATGACGGTACCTCAGTTTTTGAGCATTTAGGACCTAAGTGTCATTTCTATCCTTTCTATGATTACAACATATTACAACATGTATTTTGTACGGCTATTTCAAGCACTTCAATGCAATCTGCAGCTGTTGAGGTTACTACCTGGCCACCAGTCAAAAGGCGGGTTATGAGGGCGACTACCAGTGGATCATCGAGCTGGAGAAGGGTTGGAGCACGTGGCTTCCCGGAAACGAACCCTTCCAGGGTAGCACAAACGATGGCCCCATGCGATATACCCTCGGTACCTTGGTGCCATTGGGAGCATGTGGCCCTACCAGAATTCTAGGGTCCTTAAATCCTGGTGGTGAAGTGCTGGTTACCATGTGGTTACATCTTTTTTTGGGTGGTTAAATTCCCTTTTCTGTTGAGTACAGAAATTCTTTTTTGGGGGCATGGATATTCTAGTGCTTCAACTCCAGCATCATCCAGCATCTTTGGGCGTTGAGGCAGATACGACTTCGAGGTCAGTTTCGATTCGGAGTCACAGGGCGTCCAGCGGAATTTGACTACCGGGAAGGTGCGACGCCTCCAACGCATTGCGAAGGGAGAGGCGCTCCCTGCATGGGATGCTGGACGAAAAGATGGGAGGAATGGGTTCCACTGTGCCCCCTTTTGTGATGTGACCTTTGGATACCTTTGGTTTATAGAGCCATATATAGTTAGAAGATGTCAGAAGTATATAACCGTATCATAAACCATATTGAAATATATTGAAATGGGACCTATGTTCACCAACTTAGCTATCGTTTGGGGGCCCCGCATTGTAGCTGTAGTGATTGAGCATGATTGAACCATCAAAAATGGTGGTTCACCATCAAATACACCCAAAATGGGGTGGTGTTAATGATAATTGATAATCATTTATAATATATATATATACATTGCCATTTTGTCGGGAATTAAAGAGGATATGATGGGTATAAAAGGGAAGTTAATGGGATATAGCGGGATGCATATATAACCAGCAATGTGATAAATGATCTTATTTAATTTAATATAATAATTTATAGTCATGCCAATAATCAGCCATGTCAGGGGTCAATTGAAATCATCTCAACTAAGCCTAAACCAGGTGGTAAAGGGATTGGAAGATGAAGACTATGAAATCTCCGGATCCATGGAAGTGGTAAGAAAATCATTGGAGAATAGGTCGAAAAGAGCAACTGAAAGACTTAAATGTCAAGGTCTAGGGCCTAGGGTTGTCTCTTGGACCCAGAAAAGGAATGAAAAGGATAGAGTTGAGCACTGGGAGACCCATTGCATTGGTTATGTTTGTTCCAGAAAATATTCCCATCTTGATTGGTGAAATCCAGATTTTGGTTGGTTGATATCCCAAAAAGTGGCTCAACCCCAAAATTTGTTGGCTGAGCCTTATTTTCATGAGTTACACTTAGAACTGCATACGAAGAAGTGGGTGTTTCGTACTTCATACCATGGGATACGCAATTATAAATGGTACATGCCCCCATTATTATAGAACTTTGTTTTTGAGATTCAGTTATTCACCCCTTGACTCAGATGGACATCCACGGATATACCTATATTATTATATTCTTGCTCAAAAGATCTCAAAAGGCAGTTTTTGGATGTTTTTGGCCTATACTACCAATGACCAATGATACTCAAATTTTTGGTTGACAACATCCCCATAATTTGGTTGCTGAAATCCCATACATGGTTGGTCAATGTTGGTCAGATCTACAAAACCACCATTGGGCCGTAGGATTAATTAACTGCTTAGTAGCTGACTTACAAGTTCTATAAGCAGTTAACCAAGCCAGTTATAAATTCTTAGTTACCTATATACCCACTTGATCACCTGTAAGCCAGTTACTATAATAATCAGTTCACCAATCCCATGGCACATCGCCTCAAGGAAGGCACCGGTCTGCGGCGCCGCCCCGCTGCGCCACATCCCGCGCCAGCGGCGCATGCGGCGCACGCAGCGCACGGCACGCACGGCGCGCCACTGCGGAGAGGTGCTGCCCTTGGGCGGTGGTTTTTGGGACTTCCCCTGGATCGAAGGGCGATTTTTCGGGGTTTTGAAGCACAAAAATGGGACATTGAAACTGGTTCAAGTATGTTTTAGTCAAGAAAACTAGAGATTCAGTGGCCAGTTGAGGGACATAGACGACTTGAAGCATGAAACTGGGTAACTAAAAGGTGTCAGGCTGGTAGAAAACCACAATTCGAAATGCATCTTTGGTGGTTTGGGAGGGGGGTATGGGGTGGGGAGGTGGGGGGTGGGGCCAATAACGTTCAAGTGCACTTACACACATACTGGATGCTCTGCTAGAGACATCTTTTCTTGCACATACACACATACTTCCTGCTATGCTAGAGACATTTTCCTGCACTCGCACACATACTTCTTTTTACACTAGAGACATTTTCTCTTGCGCATGCATACATACATACATACATACATACATACATACTTCCTGCTATGCTAGAGACATCTTCTCTTGTACATTCACACATACTTCATGCTACGCTACAGATGTTTTTGTTGCACATGCACACATACTTCCTGCGTCGCTATACATCTTTCTTGCACCTACCCACATACTTGATGCTACGCCCCATAGACATCTTTTCTTGCACATACATACATACTTCATGCTACTCTACAGATGTTTTTTGTTGTACATACACACATACTTCCTGCTATGCTAGAGACGTCTTTTCTTGCACATACACACGGAGGAAAAAAATCGTGCTTTGAAGAAGCTTTGCCCTGTAAAACTCAATGGATTGTTGCAAGTTACAATGGGTGTTCAAAATCCCCGGGATTTTCAAGGTGCAATTCTAACATGACATGATTACAGCGCTGTGACGCCGAGCACATTTGATTCCAAAACATGGACAACTGCTAGCGCGGTTGTTACCCTGCTGGGATGTTTATGTCTTTTGGGGTTTACAGAAACCATCCCCATGTCCTTCAAAAACTTATTTCGTTTTGCTTTTCTAAACTCCAACAAAACAAAAACTTTGTATTTCGCAGGAGATTTGATCATGCACCCCCAAAAACGCGCGCGAGCTTCTACCAGCCCGATGCGAACTAAAAGGCGTTGCTTGGAGAATTATTGACTGATTGATTGATATACGTTTTCTTCTCCACATGGGGCTCCTGGCTTCTTTTGCAGGTCATCCAAGACTAGCCATGTACTATCTGTACCAGCCATATACTATATATATATACACATACCATTTGCAGAGATAATGATGCCAGGACTTTGCGATACATTAACAATATCACAACCCTCACAGCTGACCTTTTTGTTCTGGCTTGGCTCATGGTTTGCTTAACCCCGGATGGGGTCATCACTTCTGCGATCATCGTTATCATCCTTATCATCGTCCACATAGTTCAGCACATCGCAAGCTACATTTTCGGCCCATCATGTTTGTAAAAAGTTGTACCCACGATTATTGACAAAGATGTATGTACGTATCTACAAATTTCATTCAAATTTCAATATCAATATACGTATCAAACCTCAAATCCATTCCTTGATGAAAACGTCATACGCTTTGATATTGAATGCGTTTGGGATTACAGGATATGGTTTTGCAATGTGGGTGGACAATTCAACCACTAGAATGCGCACAAGTTGACGAGGTCTCCCCCTTAATTTCAACATGTTTTCCACCGAAAGGATGTGTTTTTTGAAGGGGATCAGCCATGCGACCCGCAGGACCCACAGGTGGTTACGCCCCGCACCAGAGCAAGCCGCCTTCTGCGGCGAAGCCGGGCGGCACAGAGTGCCTGGGCGAAGATTTCATAGCCACTGGTGAAGCATCCATCAATCATTGGATAGGTTTAAGGGATTTTAAGGGAAGTTTACAGGAAAACCTTATATTTAATCTTAAACACTATGGTTTCCTGTTTATTTTCCCCTTACACCAATCCATTGAATCAAGAAGTGCTGCTCAGCCATATTTGGAATAATGTGAATGTTTACAATACACTAATGAGAATGTCAATGGTAATATCTAATGGATTTACACCAACTGGCTGTTTTTCTGTGAAAACATATTATATAACATATTTATTGTTGTTCAATTAAACAAAAGGGATGAATATTGGGATGTTTATGGTATTTAATCATCTAGCAGCATGGGGATTTAAGTGGGAATATAATGGGTATATAACCAACATCATTTGTGGTTCAGGGGGTTCAAATATTCATTTTTTTCAACCATACAAAAGGAGGGATTGGTTCAGAGATGACGCACATGTTTTTGGGTTTGGTGGCTCACCAACCAGACTGGATTCATGGAAGGATTTACCTATAATGGAAGGATTTTAACCAACATTAATTAACCTTGTAGTTGGAATATCACGGGATAAACCCAAATAAAGGACTATAACCACCGAGGTATAAAAGTCAGCAAGATGGGATATTCATCAGGATACTAAAGGGATCAAAAGGAATATACAACCAGCTGTTTTAAATATATATATATGTTTTTATCTGAAAATGGTGAAGTTGACCATTTATGAGCAGGGATTTAGCCATTAATAACAAACAAGGGGACGACCAGTAAATGTGTTTAAAGCAATGACATGGGTATGGGTCAAAACATCCAGTGTTTTCGCCAATTCATGATGGTCAGATACGGCATTAATTCCGGCAGATTCTAGGTTAGCCTAAGTTTTTTTCTACCCGGTAATCATGATCTGCAGAATTTTACGGTGGAGGGTCTTGGGGCGATCACTGGTCTTGGCCCATTGAATGCCAGGTCATCCTGGTGAGAGCAAAGTGGGCAATTCCCATTGCCATGCTCCTGAACCAGCTTCCCATGTTGCCCCATGTTGCCCCATGATCCAACATGTTTAGATCCATTAAATCACACTTGAAACGGTTGAAGCCCCTGGACTCAGGACACGTCCTCAGGTGTCGCATGCTGCGTACACCACCACAGCCAGGGCTTATCCCAACACAGCCAGGCAACTTCCGCATTACATGAAACCTTTGAGGTCCAAAGCGTAGAACTCTTTGCCGCGGCTGAAGATTTGAAGCTGATGTTTTGATTTGGGTGGAGACCCCTGGTTTACAACGAGATTACCAGGTTCTATGGTTACTAAACCATAGTCACCATAGGGGCTGTCCAACCACGGCACCACCTCGTAGGTTCACCATTTGGGGAATCCATTGCTATTCTGAAGCGGTAATGGTCCCCTTAGTCCTTCAACCAAAAGATCAAAGATGCCGAGGGGATTGGAAGCAGCAATCATATGTGTTTTTGTTTGATGATTTTAAGTGCTTTTTTTGTTATTTATATGAGCTTAGCCATGGTAAAACTATGTTTGTAGATTCAAGCCCCAAACATTCTTTGGGATTGGTTGGACAAATGGAGGGCTTAGAGGTTTGAACTTTAGCCACTTTCATCCAAGAGGAACAAAGCCAAGTGACCATGTTTTAGCGGTGAAAAACTCACCCAGACCCTGCGATTCAGATCGCAGCTTTCTTGGCGCAGACTTTGTATAGACACTGGGGGCAGATTGACTCAACTGGCATTGTGCAGCTTCTTGGTGGAAAGTTTTGGGTTTCTACTGAGTTAGAGGTGTACAACCAGCTTCTCTCTTACTTTTTCCAGTTGTGCAGCAGCTCCATGTATAGAACTCAACTCCTGTTGTGAAAGTCGTTCGCGCAATCCGCGATACGCAGTAACACCCTTCTTGTTAGGACGACCAACGACAGATTCACTGCGCCAGGTAACCAACCCTGGTGGGTGGGGCACCGTGAGTCGTCCATGATGAGCCCGGAAAAAACAGAGACACCATGTGGAGATGAATGATAATTTCTGGATAACGGATGAGGTTTTAGCTCTTCTAATGGGGATATACAGTATGATATATGGCAGTAGTCAGGTTTCAACCAGTGGGAATGAATGGGTAGTAAGTAGCATTTGTGGTGAATTGTTTGTGAATGGGTCAATTTACAGTTTGCTACGTACTTTTCTGGAAGAATCGTTTGTGTCGCACTGAAAAAAGCAAGGATGTCTAAGGTTGGCGATTTTCAGTAGGGAAACAGCTGCATGGAGATTGCCCAGGGTCTTCCTCATCGATGCCGTTGTCAAAGCGCTGCCGCATTGAGCACGCGTGAAGAAGCAAGAAGCAAGCTGTGTAGTACCTTCACTAGCTAGTTTTTTCAAAACGATCATACCCTCTGGCCTCCATATGATCCAAATACTGCCTAGATTTTCACAGCAGATCTTGAGATATGGGCAGATGGGGATGGATCAAAAGCTATTTGTTTCCATAAATGTTGGGGGATGAACATTCATAAATCCAGCTATTCTGGATTGAAAACCAGGGGATTCCAGGTGTTGACTGATACCATATTCAACCTGTTGTGAGTTTCAAACTGAAACGCATGGAACGATTGTCCCGCTTGTAGCCGGGCAACCTAGCCAGCTGGTCGGTCATCAAACGTGGAAATGGAAAATCCCCGAACTCAATGGAGGTGAATAGCTGGAAAAAACATCTACAAATAATGGATCTTCCAGCCATGTTTGATCACCGGAGAGCAACCCACCAGGGGGATCGTGGGTGGAATAAGTCAATCAAGTCAATCCTATCGACCCAACATGAAATACCCCAAAAAAGGTAACCAAAATGAATGGATCTATATTGGATCTAATTTTTACATTCCAACACAAAACCAAGCTTTTTTTAAGAGATATTTAGTATTGAGGGGACTCAATATGTACATGGGCCTTCCTTGGGGCTTCGTTGCTCATAGGGCTTTTCAAAACGCCTTGTTGGTCGCCCAAATTTGGAGGTGCTCATTGAGACCAAGAAGCTGCAGATCCCAGAGGTGACCAACTTCTATCAGGTTCTGAGCCGCCGACATTCATATTATGACTGGCTGGTGGTTTGTCATTCAGTATCTTCAGTATCTCAATTAATATCATTCAGTATCTCAATATCCATGCTCTCATTCTGATTCTTCTGTATATCTCCATCTGGTTGGTGGTTTGGAACCATGGATTTTTATGACTTTCCATATATTGGGAATGTCATGATCCCAACTGACGAAATCATATTTTTCAGAGGGGTAGGTCTACCACCAACCAGACAGTAGTCATGGGGTTTTCCATGTATGAAGGTATCCCAATAGCTGGATGGTTTATAGTTTATACTGGAAAATCCTACTATAAATGGATGATTGGGGGGTAGCATGGGGTACCACTATTTCGGGAAACATCCCTACATATATGGCTTGCTTCTCAAAGTGATGGATTAAGTGCAGACATCACTAAGTGATATTATAGGTGATATTGGTGTGTATCTATCCGAAAATCAACCTAGTTGCAGGGTAATTCATACATTATGTCCTTTTTCCCATTAATTTGATATAGACATAGATGGCTCTTGCAGATGGTCTTGCCGACATAGTTCACAATAAGAGATACATAACACTTAAATTTTCTGCTCTACCAAATCTGCCTCAAACAATTGATGTCCCGCATCGCATCAAAGACATGCTGGGGAGACTGACCTCACCACCAAGATGGATGGGTATGAAGATAATTCCAGGTCTCGGTATTTGTTTGAACATTGGGCTACCAGTTATACCTGTCCAAGCCTCAGATAGGTGTTTGTTGAATCATATTTTAAATGTGAAAGCCTAGGCCTTAGATAGTCTTTGGATGTCTCGGGGTGTTTTCCTAGGTTTTTGTTTGTTTTCTCAGTGGTGTTAGATTCTTTGGTCTTGAATGATCCAAATTACCCTGGTTTGCTGTTTTTTGTTCTCAATGGCCAGGCCTTGTTGCACAGCATGAATAGCACCAAAGCACTGCAGCCCTTGCGCTTGGACAAGGCCGCGGTTGGTTGATTTTATGGGAAGATTCACCACTTAACCTTCAAAAAAATGATGGCAGTCTCGCAGTTGATAAATGATGGGTGATGGTTCTATCAGCATTATATTTTGGGGATCATGTTGATAGAATATATCCCATAATCAGTTTTTTGGGGATATTCACTGATTATGGGATGAGTCAGTTGATTCTATTCTAAGCAATCCATATTTTGGGGATCGCAATCCATTGGGGGAATCCAGGAGTCCATTTGGGGTGAACCAAGCATGGGAACATGATTGAGAAACGATGGAGTTTATTGGTGGGATTCCACTGGAAATGGGAACTGTTGGTGAATGGTAGGTTTGATTGACAGCTCTTAGGCATTTGGATTGAATAATTTGTTTATATCCGGCTGAACACTGACTTCGATTGAGTTATTTATGCGTTTGTTTGCACGGCATTTAGTTTAATTAATGTAAGTCACACGTGCATGAAAGGGTGAAAACCAATCTTTTGGTCTGCCTCAAAAGTCCTATCCAATGTAGAGGTTTTTGTTCATGGTGTCTCGCAATTTTTTCGGGCACTGGAAATGCCCATGCCCAAAAAGCTTTGGATGGATGAAATAAGAAAATCTGTCCAAAAATAACCTGCACTGAAGTATTGGTTGTGAACATCAATCCACTTTCTACATGGAACCATCTCATTTGTCCCTATTTTGGTGGTCCATTTGTTGAGACAGTTGCAGGTTGCTGTTTTCACACGCCTATCAGCAGTTTTCGCACTACATATTGTCCCCCTCAACCTCGAAAAAATCCGGCGATAGGTCACAACAAAATATCGTCTCAACATGGATTTCCTTGGGGAAAGCATCATTTGCCAGGGCATCTGAGAGTATTTGAGGAGTTGCCACTCCGTGAACAAATCAAGCCACTCAGACCCAGACGATTTCTGCAACGTCTGGAAGATTTACCCTCCGGTGTCGTCAAGCATCGCTGGCTGGAATTTTCCACCATTTATATATCGTAGATGAATGTAGATGATATATGATGATATATGCTTGCATTAACACACCTCCATTTACATAGGATTTCCCAGAAAAACATCTCGCCACGTTTGACACTTGCCGCGCTTGCGCGCGGGTACCACACAGGACGACGCGCAAGCGGCCATCTACTACGGCATGATTTGGTCCAATCCCTCGGACCGCGGAGACCGGAACGGATGGGGTTCTAGTAACTATGATCCAATTATGACTAGATTATGAAAAATGGTGATCCAACTATGATCCTTTTTTGTTCAAAATTGATGATCCCACTATGAAAGATTGAGCTTGATATGGCATGAGCTTTTATAACTGATAAGTGATCTGACCATCAAAGTGTGTGATGAAAAGATGTAACCATCAAAAACGGTGATACCCTGTGTCAACCTCGGTGAATGCTAGGTGAATGCTTACGAACTCTGAATGATATTCGTTGGAATGTCAACGATCGGCTGCATCTGGATGGTCTGCACGAATTCTGCGAATTCGGTGCTGTTTCGGGAAAGAAAAAGGCAATGGCACCAGCCACAACGGAGGTGCAGGCGAAACCTCACAAGGACTTGAGAATATTTGGAGAATCCTGCTAATTCTTGTGCTTCTCATTTATGGGAAATCACACTTTGCAAATCGGAGACTTCCCAGCAGCTGAAATCATGATCCCATCTGGGTCACGCTCTAGTGCATGCAGAACCATTTTTTGGCCAAGCCTGTTCAAATGAACAAAAACAGGCACTGAAATCCATTGGCTGATCTGTAGAGATTGTATGAAATGATCATTTTTCCTGGATCCATTGGCAGCCAGCCGCAGGACTGGGCAGGCGTTCCCATTGAGATGGACACTGGCGAAGTGTGTTGGGAGGAGCTGACAACCGAACCGCCCACGGCTGGTTCAGATAGGGGGTTGGGCATATCTCCAAGAATATGGTATGTATATGTATATGTATATATTATATGCATTTTTCCCGAGAGCGTCTGAGCGCAGGGTTCTTCCAATAGTGGGGGTCTGTAAAACATCTTCTCATCTTCACATCTCATCTTCACATCTCATCTTCACATCCTCTCATCTTCACATCTGCTCATCTTCACATCCTCTCATCTTCACATCCTCACATCTTCACATCTGCTTATCTTCACACCTTCCCATCTTCACATCTGTTCATCTTCACACCTTCCCATCTTCACATCTTCTCATCTTCACATCTGCTCATCTTCACATCTGCTCATCTTCACACCTTCCCATCTTCACATCCTCTCATCTTCACATCTGCTCATCTTCACATCCTCTCATCTTCACATCCTCTCATCTTCACATCTGCTCATCTTCACACCTTCCCATCTTCACATCTGCTCATCTTCACATCTGCTCATCTTCACATCTGCTC